GCAAAGTGCATGTCCAAGGCAACCAGGGTGGTAGAGTCCAGTGGCCCAAAGGCTGAGATTACATCCTCTTTCATAAACCTCAGACTGAAACAGTTCACCATAGTGGAATACGGTTTTATAGTTTAATGTCCTTGCAACCTGAGAAGCTTAATGGGGTTAGATAAATGGACTTGGAAACCTATAGCTTTTAAAGAAGTAGCTGTGTTAGTCTGTGCAGGCATATTAGACAAAAAGAGAGAGAGAAAGAACATTTAGGAACAAATAGGAGGGGGTGCTGACAAGTATTGAGCCTTACCCAGAAAAAAATTGAGCTAGGAAGCTGTAACTGCCACACTATTCTACATATTCTCCCAGGAAGTCAACACACTTGCGACATTTGCCCTGCAGCTTCTTAAGTCCCTGCAAATACAATTCTTCCGACTGCTGGTGTAACCACTCGTTTGAAGTATTAGTTGCCTCCAGAACACTCCCAGATTCTTGTCCCTTTATGTGTTTTTTGAGTTTGGGGAATAGATAATAGTAAGAAGGAGCCAGGTCAGGAGAATAGGGTGGATGGGGCATCACTTGAAAGCCTAAGGAGGTCAGTTTTGTCATTGTTTCGCCTGCAATGTGTGACGAGGTGTTGTTATGCAACAGGATGACACCTTTGGAAAGCTTTCCTCAGTATTTTTCCTCGATGTTTTGCCTCAGTTTTATCAATAAAGCACAGTAATATTTTACATTGGCATTTGAACCCTGTTGGAGGTAGTCCACCAGCAGAACCCCCTTCTTATCGCAAAAAACTGTTGCCATTTGCTTCTGCACTGACCTTTGCACTTGGAACTTCTTTGGCCTGGGGGAACCGCTGTGCCTCCATTCCTTAGACTGTTCCTTTGTCTTAGGCTCATAACAGTAGATCCATGTCTCATCACCAGTTGCTAGTTTGCCCAAGAAATCTGGCCCATTTCTTGCAAAGTGTTCCAAAACAGCCACCAATGACTCCACATGTTTGCTCTTTTGTTTGGTTGTCAAAAGTTTGGGGATCCACTTTGCTGCCAGCTTTCTCATTTCCAAGTCATTGTGGATAATGGCACCAACTCTCTCACGTAATATTCTCAGATATGTAGCAATACTTATGGCTGATATTCAGCGGTCCTCATATTGAGTAAATAGAGCCTTATTTGTTATAAAACTGACAAGGAAGGCTCAATACTTGTCAGCACCCCCTCGTATTATGGCTCCTTAAAGGCTAACAGCGATATTTGAATGCAAGCTTTTGTGGATCAGACTGTCTGGATAGCTCAGTGGTTTAGGTATCTGTCTGTGGAGTCTGTGGTTGGGAGTTGGATTCCCTACTGTGTCTCTTGTGAGAAGAACCAACCTGTGTGACCTTCGGCAAACTGTACAATCCCAGGATGTCACCAGCAGCAGGAAAGGTGAACCACTTCTGTGTATTGTCTACCTAGAAGACCCTGAAAAGGGTTGCCATAAGTCAGAATTGACTTTGATGGCTTATGGACCTTTTTAAATTATTTGTAGATAAAGTTCACTTCCTCAGACTATATCACTGTCATACATGGCCCCCAAACTAATGAGGATATAGATAATGGGCAGAATGACAATGGTTCATTAAGAACAGGACTATCAGGCTTTGAATAATCTCAGTTACTAGTCTATGAGTCTACAAGGTAAGATTTAAGTTAACAATTGTAAGCCTTGTTGACACAAGTGGCTAACTAGAGGAACCCATATAGAATTTCACACTTGGTCATGAGCTTGACTGATGTTAATCCTTTTTGAGCTGGTCTCTAATCAAGACTGACCGATCATATAGAAATGGCAGGTGCTCAGTTAGATTGTTCTAATCAAGCCCAACTTTTCCAAAGCAACCCACACGAGCTTGCCCACTGCTGCTAGTGTGACTCCCCCCAGAATAAAGCACTACGGAATAGTTGATGTGGAAGTACAGTACATGCACCAAGATTTTAATTTTAATTTTTGTTAAAGCTTCTTTTCCATTCTCAGTATTGCCTTAGGAGCCGCCTCGTTATCTCTCGTGGTGACTTACCCACTCATGAAGAGAATAACATACTGGCCACAGTTATTCTTGGGTAAGCTCAGGAAATTCTTTTTCTTCTACATGGGTTGTTCTTACTGACTTAACACTACATTGGGGTGTGATTTGGTTACTTAGGATGTTGTGTACTTTGCAAGAAGTGAACAGATTTATCCTGAGATGTAATTGCTCATTTCCTTCCCCTGCAGTGTGATGCTTATTCTGCAAGCACCAACTCCTCCTAAGCTGATGTCTCCTCACAGACAAAAGTTCCTCCATAGTGTTAGGTACTTGTTTATAATTTCAAGTTCTGGTATCACATTTTAATTGAGCTATCAAGTGGCTTACAAAAACAGAAAATAAGCGGTATAAAACTGTTTAGGAATGATGGGAATACATGCTGAAGTTGAAGCGGTTTTAAAGGTTTGGCAAATTAAAATGATTTCGCTACAGTGGGGTCTCGACTTACGAACTTAATCCGTATTGGAAGGTGGTTCTTAGGTCGAAAAGTTCTTAGGTTGAATCTGCATTTCCCATAGGAATGCATTGAAAACCATTTAATCTGTATCTGCTCTTTTCCGTCCATAGAAACTAATGGGAAGCTGCTATTCTGCCTTCTACCACTAGAGGGGGATATTTTCCCCCCCATAGGTTCAGGAAACGAGGAGGAAGGCAGGGAACAGTTTGCAAAGCACTTTAGAAATCTTTTTTTTTCAATGAAGCCAATTTTAAATCATGTTTTAAAACATGTTGTGCTGATTTTTTTCAGCACAAAGACACACAGGCAGGCTTTTTAAGTGCTGAGCAAGCCTCTGGATGCCTCTTCAGAGCCAGCCGATCAGCTGATAGGCGGGGAGAGGAGGGTGCAGGAGTGGGGGGGGGGAATCACAAAATGGCTGCCAGGCTCCCTTCTGGGGGTCGGCTTTTAGCTGTTTCCTGCTCTTTTTCCTGCTGTTTGGGGGCTACCAAGGCCTGGTAAGTGACTTTCTTTTATTTATTTTTAAGTTTCTGACCCTTTTTCCCCCTCCAGAAGCCTCTAAGGGGAGGGGGGGGGCAGTTTTTTTCCTGTACGTAACTCGAGGGAAGTTCGTATGTCGAGTCCTTATTTCCCCTATAGAGCGGGTTTGTAAGTAGAGTTGTCCGCAAGTAGGGTCGTTCGTAAGTCAAGACCCCACTGTATCTGTGTCAGTTCTCAAACCTTCCATGGGCAAGGAGACATCAGAGGAGCCCTTGGGGTTGATCATCAACACATGGGAGACCTGTATGTACAAAGACCTCAGAACTTTATTCCAGAACTGTGTGCAGCAGACCAGTTGACGTCGCTGTCTCTTTCCCCTCCGAACCCTTTCTACTTCTCTTAGGGTAGACTAGTTAAGCTTCACCGTCTCCCAGTCCAGTTCAAGTCCCTTGGGATGATTCTGTTCACCCTCAAGTCTATTAATGTCTTTGTTCCACCTTCCGCTCTTCCTTAGCATGGAGGTCTCATTTGAACTGCCAGTCTCTTGAATCGATGTTTTCTTCTCCAGTGCCTTAATTGGGTTGGAGTTGGGATCAGTGCATGTCGGATTGGGCTAGCACCGATAGAGTGGACCCAGTCCACCACATCATAGGTTCATTCTCAGGCTGGTCTAGTCTCTGGCCCAACCATGGTGGGTCCATCAAGTAGTAGACCTTGTGGAAGAGTGCTCCATGGTGAGGCCAGTGTATCTAATGGCCTCCCGTTCACTCTGTCATCAAAATGCACCAAAACAGGTTCTATGTATTCCCCAGTTGGGTGTCACCTTTAATTCTACAACTACTCACCGGGCAGGATAACTCCAACCAAGACCCTCACAGGTGATTTTCAGATCTGGATAGAAACAAGGAAGTAGTCTTCAATGGTGAGGAAACATAATTCCCTCCCCCCTTCTCTCTAGTACTGTGATAGCCAACACCTCACAATCCAGAGGACTTGAACTGGACTGGCAAAGGACGAGACTTAGCTGCTCTACCCTAAGTGCCAACGCCCCACCTCACCCTACCTGTTTTACAACTGCCGGATACATATGTTGAGTGTTCCTAACAAATCATCTGCTAGGGCATATGTTGAAAAAGTTGTCTTTGGGGTACAATTTTCAGATTTCCCCAGCAGGCCTGGTCAGTGGGATTCTGGCAATCATAATCCAACTAAACACGTTTTCCCCCCTAAATTCTGCATGGGGGTGGTCAGGATCACAGCAGGTCTGCTGTGCCATTGAAATGCAGCGCGAAATGCAGGGGGACTGTTTGGCAGGTGCATTTTTTTCCATCACAAGTCTTAACAGTGATGACAGGACTGTAGACCTTCTACAGGAAACACGAAATGCAGCACGAAATGCAGGGGGAATGTTTGGCAGATGCATTTTTTCCATCACAAGTCTTAACAGTGATGAGCAAAGCTTGCTTTTTTGGGTAGCTCAATAAAAGGTAAACCAGCTTTGCCTTCCTTTGTGTCCTGTCACCCTGTTGGTGAATCAAATAAAGAGAGTGACGATAATTCACCTTCTACAGGAAACACAAGTAGGATTCAGAAATGGGAGCGGCAGGCCTTGAGTCATACTTTTTCTATTGGGAACTGCCTTCCTCATTGCATAGGACTTGACTCACTTATTAGAAAGTACATTAAAAGGAATTACCATGTTGTTTCACAGAGGCTTGGCTTTTTCAAATCTAAAGGTAGCATTCTACCATCCATTTATGATGTTCTCTCTCTCTTTTCTTTTGTTGCCAACTAATTCATTTTGAATCAGGCTTGAGTTGTACAGAAATGAGGTGCCTTCTGTTTTTCTGCAACATAGATTTGCAAGCAACCACCATTCCAACCCTCCCGCCATGTGGGAACATCCATCAAAGTACTATATTTGAATGAACCAGATATATGCCATTTGAGATCTCCTTTTGTACAACTGCCTCAGTTGTCTGCTCAGTCTGTTTGGCCATATGCTGGCACACTGAAGCAACAACAAAAATGTGCCGGCTTTCCGACAAGTTCATGTTCCCATCTGTCTCTGTAAAGCAGGGAGATAGCACTGCATGCCTTCCACAATCAGAAATGGGGAGATTGCACTAAGTATGTTTTTCTTCCTTGCATTACTAGAGGCGTGTACACTTCATGATCCACAGATTCCCTTTCAGTGGGAGCTGTGGAGGTTAGGAAGACTTTGTGCTGCAATAAGCCCGTGTCCGTGTAGCAAGACACTGCTTTTATTTTCTTGCTCCAGACTAACAGAATTTCTTTTCAGTACAGTATTTAAATGAGAGTTGTTATTCTATTGATTTGCAAAGCATTTCCAAAAATCCTGTCTGAGGGCCTTGCAGGTCATTTTGAATCTTGCTGCCGTTTCCCCCCTAAAAAATAAGAATGCATGCTATGACTGCCATGTGAGGCTCTTTTCTTTTGTTTCTCCCTCTCTTTTAGGCCTTGCCTTTAACTGGGGCGCTTTACTTGGCTGGTCAGCTGTCCAAGGCTCTTGCAACTGGTCCGTTTGCTTGCCACTGTACTTCTCAGGAGTTCTGTGGACACTCATATATGACACTATTTATGCTCATCAGGTATAGAGTTTTCTGATTGCTAAATGAGATCCTTGAAGTAAGGGTCTGATGCTGAGTGGTTTTGATGAATTATAATGCCACAAGGTAGTTGCTTCTGCTGAATGCAAAAATGGATTTTACATCCCTTGTGTAGGTTTGAAACTATTTATAATTATTTTAGTGTTTTTGCTGGTTATTGTCACCTGCCATCAAGGTCTTGTTTTGTCATCAAAGCAGGCTAAAAATGAAGATGCAAACAGTGTCTTTGTATGTTTGATAGTTTAAGGTGTCATCACTACAGTTTTATCAAATTTGAATTACATGGCAAGCAGCTCAAAATCTAAACCAACAGTTCTTAGCCTTTTCTTTACCACGGGCCCCTTTTAAACATCTTCTGTTACTGCAGACCATCAAGATTTAGCCCAAGATTCAAAACCCTAAAGTGCATCAAGCGTTTACTTAGTTTCTCATGAAGGGCCTTCAGATTTGATTATTGTTGGGTTTTCCATTTTTTTGCTATTTGTTGAGAAACTTCAAATGAGGCGCTGTATTCTCATTGTTACAACCACTTGCAGCCTTTTTAACCATTTTTTTATTTTCCCAAAGCTCATGCAACACTTTTAAAGATGACTTTTAAAGATTCTTTCTTTCTTTCTTTCTTTCTTCTTATTTTCCCAAAGCTCATGCAACAGTTTTAAAGATGACTTTAAAGATTCTTTCTTTCTTTCTTTTTTTCTTCATATTTTAACTGCAAAAATCATAGCATTTCTTCAAGCCTTCGCAGACCCTCTGTGAGTTCATTGTGGGCCCCAGGGGTCCGTGGCTCACAGATTAAGAATTGGTGATCTAAGCCAAAAGAAAGAGTTTCTGAATCCCCGCTGAGCGTAGCCCCAGAGGAAAGGAAGCACAGATACGTGGGATTCATTGCAGCTCTTTCTCCTGTAGTTTGGTGTGACATCTGAACATAGCCAGTGAGGTCAATAAAATTACTTTCTGTATTTTAAGTTGGGGATGTCTTGTAGCTCATGCTTTTAATGGCTGCAAACAAGCTCTTGATCTTGCTTACTCTTTTCCTTCTTCACCTGGTTTCTAGTTTCTGAAAGACACTCTTTCTTGGATTAAGAACTTCTCAAGGCGTTCTTGTCATCTCATTCCACACCTAGTTGTATTATGATTTATTTTATTTATTTATTTATTTATTTAGTTTTTGAAAGACACTCTTTCTTGAATTAAGAACTTCTCAAGACGTTCTTGTCATCTCATTCCACCCCTAGTTGTATTATGATTTAGTGGTTTCTGTCCAACTGTTTCTCTTATGTTGACTGTTTTCAGTCTCAGATTTGGATCAAAATTCCCAGGACCGCGTCTTACTAGTATCACATATAACCACAGCACAAGAGTACAAAGCAACTCTTTTTTTCTCCAGGGGTTCCCAACCTTGGGTCCCCAGATGTTCTTGAACTAAATTTCCCAGAATCCTTCACCACTAGCTACACTGGTTAAGGATTTCTGGGAGTTGTAGTCCAAGAACATCTGGGGACCTAAGGTTAGAACCACTGAATTCTATGCAATGTTAGTGCATTTGAGTTTTTCTGCTAACCGATTTGCATCCTTTTTCTGTAGGATAGAAGAGATGATCTTGCCATAGGTGTGAAATCAACGGCACTCAAATTCAATGAAAACACCAAGTTGTGGCTCAGCGGCTTCAGCACTATGATGCTTTTAGGACTTACTGTGACAGGAATTAATTGTGACCAGACTTTCCCATACTATGCAGCAGTAATGGCAGTGGGCTTCCACTTGGCTCAGCAGGTCAGTTACCAGTTTTGTATGCCCTCTTTATACCGAAGCTTGAAATGGGCGGAAGCTGTGTCAGTTTGGCTTAAATTCCTAATTGCCATGTTTTCATATCTGCTGAAATCAGTTACAGTGGTGCCTCGCTTAACAGGCACCCCATTTAACGACGAATCCGCATAGCAACTAATTTTTTGCAATCGCATTGCGATGTTTTAAATAGGAAAAAATCGCTTTGCGGTGATCGGTACCCTGTTTCGCGTACCGATCACCGCATAGCGATGATTTTCCAACAGCTGATCGGCGGTTCCAAAATGGCCGCCGGGTAAATAAAATGGTTGCCGCTGTGTTTTCGCCCGGATTCCTCGCTTACCGGGCAGCGAAAATGGTGGCCGTATGGAGGATTTTCGCTTAAAGGTGAGTTTTAAGCCCATAGGAACGCATTGAAGGGGTTTCAATGCATTCCTATGGGCTTTTTAAAACCGCATAGCTACGAAATCACTTTGTAGCGATTTTTGCTGCATGGATTATCATTGCTATGCGGGGCACCACTGTATTGGCTTTTCAACAGAATGAGGAGAAGAACAGGTTGGGGATTTTAACCCAAGCCTCCTGAATTTGAATCCCTGCACAGCCATAGAAGTTCCCTGGAGATGTGGTAGTGGTAAAGCCACTCCTTAAATAATCTCACATACCTTGAAAGCCCTATTAGGATTGCTGTAAGTCAGTTACAACTTGACAGCACAATAATTTATGCCTCTAGTTCAAAACAGTTGAAATTTAAAACAGTTGAAGTTTCAAGAAAACTTCTCAAAAAAGGGAGGTGTTACAGCGGAAGAGATTTGAGAAGCGGGTGTGCATTTTACAATTTAGATACTACATTACAGTAACATTAATGCAGTTTTCACCTCTTTCCTCAGATACACACTTTGGATATTCATAATCCTGAAGATTGTTGGAAAAAGTTCATTTCTAATCGCACACTAGGATTCCTGCTTTTCTCAGGGATTGTACTTGGAAACTTGTGGAAAAGCAAAAATCCAGAAGAGCTGAAGAAACCTTTAGAGAGTAATTCAAAGGAGACAAATCTGTTTCGTAGATAGGAAACGAACATGAGTTTTTAAAAAACTGCACACATTATTTATAATTTAGTTCTTATTAAAAGAAAATATTTTGAGAAGACAGTATTTTCATGTGTATAAACTATGGTCTCAGCTATTTTGAGCTCTTTCTTTACTCTTCTGAGTAGAGATTGGCAGTTCGTCCTGGTTCGTTTATCACCGCAACAGGTATTGAGTGGTAAGGCACTTTGCCCCCTCCAGCAGGCATCCGCTCAGAAGCCATGTCCGGAAGAGGCAGGGCAGGGAAGCTTCGGATGATGCTTCCGGAGGGAAGGGACAGGGCACCGAACTGCCGAACATTTGTTGTGGCCCTAAATAAACTGTTTCTACGTCCGAGAGAAAAACTGGTGGGGAAAGCATCCATGCTGTAACTCTAAGATTGTACAATTATAGTGGGTGTGAGACAATTATGTATATAAAGGAACTGTGAAAGATAAGTTTTGTAATGTGATTTGTGGAATATTTTGTGTAAAATAATTACATGGTAATATATTTAGAACTATGAACTGTATATTGATTTCTGTCCCGGTGTTGGTTGGTTCCCTGGTTTCTCATTTGTGATGTGTGCTACACTCTTGTGCTAGGTTTGTTGTTGCTGTTACCTGGAAATCTACCCAGATTCTTCACCTGGCCTCCTCCTGAAGGCCTCAGAAGCAGCACTGTGGGCTTCCCTGCCTTGCCTCCTGCTCTAAGTGGGTGTCTGTCTGAGGAGGTGAAGTACAAAGTCTGGGACACATGTGCAACACCTGTGGGCCTGATCCACCAAAGTCCAGTAAATGCCCATCTCTGGTGCATGTATATACAGTGATGCCTCGCAAGATGAATGGCTCGCGCAACAAAAAACTTGCAAGCCGAAATCGCATTTTGCGATTTTTTTTTTTGTGACTCGCTAGACAAATTTTTCTATGGCCGTGCTTTGCAAGATGAATAGGAACGCATTAATTCAATTTCAATGCATTCCTATGGGAAACCGCACTTTGCAAGACGAAATTTTCGCAATACTAAATGACTCACGGAGTGAATTATTTTCATCTTGCGAGGCATCACTGTAAAATGTGAGCAGTGCTAAGCAACGTATGACTTTTCAGTCTTTCATAGAACAGTTGCCTCAGCTCCTTTGATTTTCAACTAAATAAACATGCATGACTTCCAAATACAAACAGGTTTTCCACTGATAAATATAAATGAAAGATGGTAGGATTGGGGCTTAATTTGGTAAGTTTAATTATCATTTCCTGAACATATTTTAAAAAGCTGGGGCAGCTTTTGACCAAGACAGCTTCTTTATGTGACTCTGTTGTAGCTGACAATATCATTTGTTCTGAAAAGACTTTCAGTGGTGAAAGCTCTGATTGAAAGAACTAGATTAAGCTCACCACTTTGTTGGATTAAGTTAATAATTAAATGATTACTGCTTTTAATTCAAGTAATTCACTTCAGACCAGATGCATTTCCTTTATCGCTTCAGATCTACTACAGATCTGTGTTGTTTATGCCTAGTTAGATGATAAAAGGATTCATTAATGCCAGAATATTAGACAGTCCGATGTTGGCACAGCAGTGAGCTATTCAACCAATGAGGCAGCTGTGCTTTCAGCAAGGGTCCTGTTGCAATATTCTAATTGCACAAGATAATGGAGGGTTGTTGCTTATCTTTCTACTGAGGCAACTATGCTACCTAAGGAAAATATATTGCCCAACCACTCTTGGAAATTATTTTAGATGCAGGTGTGGCAGATACACCCATCAGAAGAGTCACAGTGAGGTCACTTCTGTGACATTTATTTATTTTTATTTATTTATTTAAATTATATGCCGCCCACACTACCCAAAGGTCCCTGGGTGGCATTTGCTTCATAGAAGTCCCTAGTGCTTCCTGTTGTATTATGATGACCTAATTTCATTGCTGAGGTTGAATGGGCAGGGATGCTGTTTCAATTTTTTAAAAAAATCAGCTGGTGCTCTTTTTGATACATACCTGTGAGATTCTGCCTCTGTTGTCACAAAAAGGGTTAAACCTGGAACACATAACGTATAATTGCTCTTCTGAGAGTTCCCTTTGTGACATAATTTTTTTTTCTGTTTCTGCACCTGCACTGTCCATCTGACAATTAATCAGACACACATCTTTAAGAGAAGGATGTAGTTGTCCGAAATGGTTGGATAGCCTTTCACAATGTTTTGGCTGTTGTGTTGCCTTCACTACCCCATCCCGCCCCATATAAATACAAGGCAACAGGATAATGTGAGAATGTTTAACAAAACATTTTCAGGAACTATAGGTGGAGTGCAAACATTCTCTTCTCAGACACTGTGGCAGCCTTTCCAGCCAAGCCAGCTATTTGGTTTAATGATCAAATACTGTATTTTTCCATGTATAAAACAACAAATTTTCCTAAAATAATTAAAAGAAAAATTGTGGGTCATTTTATACAGGGAAGTAAGGCGAGGGGGAGGAATCAAAGCACTTTGATCCCTGTTTCCATGTTTTGCAAAGAAAATGGAGGGGGAAAGCGATTCCTCCTTTCCCCCTACATTTTCGTGGCAAAAAGCAGCTTTTCCCCTCCATGCAAAGAAAATGGAAGAGAAAGCTGCTTTTTGTAACGAAAGTGTAGGGGGAAAGCAGGAATCACTTTCCCCCTCCACTTTCTTGCAAAGAAAGAAATGTTGGGTGAGAAAAGTGAGGATGTCTGTTATTCTCAATGCACATCAGTTGACAACCTCTTAGGTGCTTATCAGAGGCATCGGGGGCACACTATCTGGTCCACAGCCACTATTGTACCAGAGCACATCAAACTTCCAAAATCTTGTCCAAGCACAGACTAGAACTCAAATCTAGTGTAGAGGTGGTGTACACAAACTGCTACATACAAATAATTTTCAGAATGTGGAAAGTTACTTCTGAAAAGTAATCAATTCCCAGATTTTCAGCATCATATTTTAAGAAAAAATGTATTTTCTTTACCATCTCTTGGTTAACTCTGATAGTCACTTCTTAGATCCTTTAAAACATCTGATTGCAGCACAAGCCATTCCATGAAATATGCACTATACTTTATTATTCAGCAATAAATTGTAATAATTTGTCATTTGTTTTCTGATTTGTTTGTGTTTTTTTATGCCACCGCCTTGATCAAGATGATCCTGACATACAGTATGTTCCACCATATACACACTAGACGCGCTAATCATCATCATCATCATCATCATGTGCGGTCAAGTCAAGGACTCCCTTTTTGAGGGCCACCACCTAGTGCTTTTTAACCTAGCCCAAGCTGAAGATTCATAGATCATCAGCAGAAGCCTACATGTGCAGATGAGTCAAATGAACATTTTAATTTTTAATTTGTAAAATGTCTTTCAAATTGAATTTCTCACGGTAGTCAGCGTGTAAGTTAAGCATATCTAAATATAGAAACCCTAATTCTGGAGGTGTATGTGTAATCCAGTGGCGACGGTGGAACAAAGCCTTCATATTTTCCCAGTTGTGCAAGAGCAATACCCATGTCTAATTTACTAGTTCGTCATGCAGATTTAATTACTGATTTCACATATTATCAGGTTCAGAACAAATACTGCAACCAACAATTATCTTCCCTGAACATAAATAGCTACGGACTGTCTCTGGAAATACGTATTAATACTCATCAGGATTGATACGATGGTTACTCTCCATCTATAAGAGAAGTCTGGGTCAATTTTCCCTTGGACAAAGAAAACTCAACTTTGAGAAGCATTCAGAAAAGGGGTAAGTACGCAGGCTTTGCCCCGCTCCCAATTTCTCTGGGAAATCTGAAAGTTCTAAAACTGATTGGAATTGGGAGGGACAGTATTTAATTTTCATATCAGTCATTGGATGGGATTGGTAAGAGTCGACAGACGGCACCTTGTTCACCAATTGTGACTTAAGGCTTTGTTGTTTTTTCCTCTGCTGACCAGGTGACACAAAAATTAATTTAAAACTTAAGATCCATATTTTCTTTCCTGCCTTTATCATTCTTCAAGGGAAAGAGAAGTTATTTTGTTCTGGGGGTGGATCTACAGTATTTCATATGAACAGTTTGTTTCCATGTCAGAGGCACCTTTAATTGGCTCAGAAATTTGCTTCTTTTTGTAAAATAAAGAAAAGCCTCCAGAGGCACAGTGGCAACAAGGAAGTGAATTTATGAATGTTTGTTTCTCAAGAAATCCAGAAAAATGATTTTTGAAGATGTGAGAGGAATGACTAGGAGCCTAATCATATACTTTACCTACAACCTGTTTACTAGCTTAAAATATTTATCGCCTTAAATCAAATGTTTTTTGAGGCAGTCTCTAATAGCTATGTATATTTGTTATCCACAGCATACTCTGTAGTGTAGAGTGGGGCTTAATGGTAAAGGTAAAGGTTCCCCTTGACATTTACTCCAGTCGTGTCTGACTCTAGGGGGTGGTGCTCATTCCCGTTTCCAAGCCGTAGAGTCAGCGTTTGTCCGAAGACAGTTTCCGTGGTCACGTGGCCAGCGCAACTAGACACGGAACGCCGTTACCTTCCCACTGAGGTGGTACCTATTTATCTACTTGCATTTTTACATGCTTTCAAACTGCTAGTTTGGCAGGACCTGGGACTTACTCCCAGGTAAATGGTTTCAGCCATATATCCCAGAAGTAATTAAGACTCAGTCATTGATGGAACACGTGGCTGAAATGACAGCTAGCAATGTAAAATTGCTGGCTTCGTGAATTATAGGAGAAAGAGATTTTAAGCACTCAGTGGAAAGATGGGGGAAATTCTAGATTTATACTTTGTATGCCAGGGAATGGCATATTGAATGCCCATACATATATATATACATACAAAGACATATCTTCCTATACGTTGAAAAATAAAGTGACATAGTAGAGAAATACCCTGAGTCTTTCTCCATCTCATGCCATTTTGACACAACAAAGAGGATTTCTTAGGGAAGTACTGACATGCGCAACTCCCAGATTACTACCTCATGCAAGTTTGCCTCATTCCATGCAATTTAGCTCATGCTAATGAATCACAAATGAAATTTTAGACTCTAGAAGAGCAGCCTTTTCCAACCCTATTGTCTCACAGGTAGTGTAGCACAACTCACTTAAGCGGGTGCCATTTGAGAAATGCAATGGTCTTAACACCTCCCCTGTCCAGACGGGGTTATGTGTGTGGGGGGATATACCTAGGATGAAGCATATACCCCAGGACATCAAAATTTAGAAGCCCCTGAGATTGCTGAATGTAAGAAAAGTAAACTGCAACACCTCCCTCCATTCCTTGCAAGGCATAAATAAAGCCCACCAACAAAATGTTCCAGTAATAGCCAGATCAGTAAGTTTCAGGGGGAAAAAAACTAAAAAGAGAGCTGAGTATGGATTGACCTTGCTTTAATTGAGAATCGTTTCTGGTCTCCTGGTGTGTCTAAAATGTAGG